GCGGCGTCGGCGTGAGCTGGTTTCCGGCACGTGGTTCAGATGTTTCCATGCCGGAGGCCTTAGCGGAAGAGGGCGGGCTGGGCTCCAGGCGGTGTCTCCCAACCTCAGCGCGCAACTGCGTCACAAGGCTCCCGGCACGGCGTCATTAGCCCCGAGGCCCCGCCCAGCAGATGCGTCGCGCATGCGCAGAAAAGCCCCGCGCGCAGTTTCTCAGCGGTACTTCTGGGAGTTCACGTACTGGGGAGTTTCACGGGCGTGAACGAAACCGGGTCCTTCTCTAGTAAAGACGATTTTACTGTTTGTTTATGTAACCATTGAGCAAATCTTTATCAGAGCCGCTATGATCCCGACGCTGATAATCAGTAATAGAAGCGCTCAGAAAGAAAAGAGTTTCTGGTGGAACAGAGTGAGGAATCTGTAAGGGAAGGCGGGGGAAGGTGGATGGGTGGGTGGGAGGTGATCAACCAAAGACCTTGTAAGCATATATGCATAACCCATGGACACAGTACTTTCAACAATAAAGATATAAAATAAATTGGATTTAAAAATTCTAGCTTAAGAAAAAGAAAAAAGAAATTAAAGAGTTTCTTTGCCTACAATGCCTATGGAGCCCTTGTTATTCGAACTCCTATCAAACCCCACAAACCCAATTCATTAGCAACCCCCATAAACTCTGCCTTCACAGTGAATCTAGCCATTTCTCACACCCCCCCCCACCCCCGCTAACATTTTAGCCCAGGTCACACCCAGTTAACAGGTTGACCTGTTTCTGCTCTTGTCTCCCTAAAGTCTATTTTCTCCAACAGGACCAGAAAGATGAGTCTAAAAGGTAATTGCTGTGAAAAAGGTGAAGAGATTAAGAGAAAAAAAACTTCATGGACACAGGCGACAGTATGATGATTACCAGAGGTAAAGTGGGCTGGGGGGAAGGGGACTGGGTCCTAGGGGTCTGCCTAGGGCTAGCCAGTTCTGTGTGGGTTCTTGATTTTGTACAAAAAAATTTCACAACACAAATCCAGGTGAATTTTAGGGGACGTTTATTAAAGCTGGGGACAATGCCTGGCTGTTGCAGCACAATGGTTAAGCATTGACCAATGAATCAGGAGGTAACAGTTAGATTCCTGGTCAGGGCATGTGCCCAGGTTGTCGGCTCCATATCCAGTCAGGGTGTGCAGGAGGCAGCCAGTCAATGATTCTCTCTCATCATTGACGTTTCTATCTCTCTCTCTCCTTTCCTCTCTGAAATCAATAAAAAAAAGTTTTTAAAAAATGCTGGGGACAGTGAAACAAAGAAAGGCCTAGGATATTAGAAATACTGGGTGGGGAAATGAGCCTAGGCTGGGCTGCCTGGGTTCACTAAGAAGTTAGAGAGAAGGGGATCTTGGGGACAAGTTCAGGGGGTTTGCCAGGATGAACTGCTGCTGTCCATTGCTACCCTGGTTGCAAACTTCTTGGGGTCCCTTAGAGTTTAGGAGATACATGCCTGTGGAGGAAGAAGAGGAGGAGGAGGAGGGGAAAGTCACTGGGTGTGCTCCTGGGAGAGAGAGCACAGGCTTGACCCTCATTTTGAGGTGTAATAAAGGCTGGGAATTCAGGGGCGATCCTAGGGGAGGATCTCAGTAGAATACCCGTCAGCTTTATGCTGATGTGATTTATTCTCTTAACTTCATCTGTCTTTGGGTGTGGTTGGCAAATGGCACTAATTGCCTACCACAGAAAGAGACTTGACTTTGGGCCAAGGGACCCCACCGGTGTACGAATCGATGCACCAGGCCTCTAGTATGCATATAAGATCTTTGGTTTATCTCTTCCCACACTCCCCCCTCTTCCCTTCCCTCTGTTTCCAC